TCCTCTCTTCTTCTTTCTTCTCTCTCTCTCTCTCTCTCTCTCTCTCTCTCTCTCTCTCTTTTTCAGGTCGCACGCAACAACTTCTACTTCTATTCACGTTCTATTCACGCGTTCTATTATATATCTCCCTCTCCCGGGCCGGCCACCATCTTTCTCCTAACTTACCTCTCTGAAGAAGGACGCTGCTCTGCTGCGTCCTGCTGCTAGGCGTCAACGATGAACAATTCCACCTGTGCCACATGAATTGATGCTGACACTCGGATATCGCCATTTGCAGACCTTTGATCGCTGCCACCGTCACGTCCGGATTTCTGTGGCATAGCTCGCGCTGTTCCTTCGTCATCCCTGGAATACCTTTGCAGACCACGGCATTACCGCTTACCCAATCGTCCACGGAATTGCTCATTAAGCAGGTCGCGCTGCGAATCAAACGGAAATTTACCAATTAAACTTGAGAAAAGGGGGAGGGGGAGGGGGGAGGAAGGGGGGAAAAAAAATAAAAAAGAAAAACTCCTTTCCCTCCACGAGTCCACGAGAGAGGAGGAGGAGAGATCGAGAGAGTCTGTTTCGTCGGTTTTTCGTGAAAGCGGTCTCGCGCACGATCGGTTTGAGTGATTCCGCTTCGGGGGAATTCAACCGAGGACATTCCTCGTACTTATGGCACGCCGCAATCGCCTTTCGATCCCTCCCGTTTCGCACTGCGCAACTGCTACCACCACGTGTTCACCTCCGTTATCGAATTCTCGATCGTGGACGCGGCCGCTTTTGGATTCATCGTTGATTAACTCTCCCAACTCTCCCTTTAAAGTAAGTGCCAAACGTGAAATTATTGTACGACCGTTTAAGTATAGACCGATAACGTTTCCAAAACCGACGCACCCTGCGCGCTGGATATGCGCGCGGCTTGCATCTCTCGCTAGACGCGTCATCTGCTTTCCTTTACACAATTTTACGAGGCGGGGGTCAAAGATGCGATAACTCTCCTCGAAGCCAGCCTGCAATATCCCTTCTTCTTGTTCTTCTTCTTTTCCATCCTTGTTCGTGCTCTCCTACCTTCTTGTATCGATCGCTATCCTCTTTCGCTAGCCTTCCTTCCTTCCTTCCTTCCTTTCATCCTTCCTCCGTCCTTTCCATTCGCATAGTCGCGATAACGCCACTTCGTATCTTCGGGAGGAAAAGCTCTTAGAGCGTTATCTCTCTAAGAGACAGCTCGACTTAATAATAGCCGCGTTACGATGCGTCACGCACGGTGTTAATTAATAATTTTCGAACGAAGAAAGAAGTATGGAGGAGGAATGTTCCACCATCGGCGGTGGAACAGCACCGCGATCGGCCACCATTCGTCGATCGTTCGTCGTCGAGGATGAACACGGATGTGAACCCTTTCCTTTCCGTGTTCTCCTCTTCTTCCGTCCTCGCGACGACGGAAAGAGAGGGTTTTCCTTTTTTCGGTTCGCCTAGTTGGTTTTTTTCTCCGTTCTCGACCGAGTCGAGAGTGGAGTGGTCAATTTTTTTGCAAAGGGTCTGTCGAATCGAGCCCCCGAGTAAGGATGTCACGGGCGGGTGCAAGATTCTCGGTGGGTCGGTGGTTATCTGCGGGTACAAATTAGTCGACGAGCTTCTCCTAAAGTAAAAGCTGTGTATAGCACCCGCGTGAACGTGGAAAAGAGAGAAAAGGGAGAAAAAGGGAGAGGTATAAAGGTATCTTCTCGAGGACAAAAGAGGAAAAAAGAAGAAGGAGGGAAGGAAAAAAAAAAAAAAAAAAAAGGAAGGAACGTATCCCGAGGATGCGAACGATGCCGGGGAAGGTGGTGGTTGGCGATGGTGATGGTGGTGGTGGCGGTTTGCGAGAAGAGGGTCCGTCCTCTGGCCGAAGAGGAGTTCGTTTCTGAGGAGAGGAGTGTGGGAAAGGAGGAAGGAAGGAGTACGGTGGTGTACGGTGGAAGTGGAAGAGCGAGATTTTAGGGTCGCAGAGGTTATTGAGGGCTCCCATTACCGATACACCGTTGCATCGCTCTTATCTTTCGCGCTATTGATGATCTACCGAAAGCAGATTAATGATCTTTACTCGACGAAACAAATTGCGACGAAAGACATCCACGTACCTGAGCGTGGCGACCCGAGAATACTGACCGGGAGTTAGTCCGAGGAAAGGATTCCTTCCCTCTCTCTCCCCCTCCCCCCTCCCCCATTACACCTTCCCGTTGTTACTCATATTTTTTACCCTCCTCTCCTTTGTCCCTTGCCTCGCTTTTGTCGCGTGGGAACAACAAATAGACTTTGGCCTTATCTTTCAACGCGCGTCGAGGCGCGTCACGCCGTATAACCGACAACACGTATCCAGGGAAAATACGCGTATAACGTAATAAGGTAAAGAAAGGTGTTGATCTCGGCTCATATCTTTGGATCGCGTTCTCCGAACTCGTAGGAGAATCGTCGAGCAAATCGAAGACGGGAAGTCCTCGTGCCGCATTTTTGCAATGATCCAAGGGGTCGCCGAAGAATCCAAGATGGCGTCAGGGATGCACGTGTTTTATTTAACTTTTTCGCAAAGGAAACGGATGAGAGGGAGGGAGAGGAAGAGGGAGAGGGAGAGGGAGAGGGAGAGCGAGAGGTGCACGGAACGGAATTTCGCGTTTAATGGAGGTATACCCGCGGAGAGAGAACTCGTTACGAGTGACTCGCGAGAATTCCTGCGGTAGATATCGAATCGCTTTGCTTCTCTTATTTTCGCGCGAAGGGATCTCTCGTCGCTCTGTTCGCTCGCTCGGTCGTATCCTCTCCCGGTCGGTATTTTTCGACACCGACCGCCGCCGAGAGATATCGGTCGTCGAAAATTCTCCTCGAAAAGGAAAAAAGTCGACGATGGAGACGAGTCGAGGAGAAGGAGGCAAGAGAAGGAGGGGAAGGAAAAGGAGGAGGAGGAGGAGGATGAAATCTGAAAAATTCTATAGGCGCGGAGTAGAAGAGAATCGACGGTGGCAACGGTGGCAGGGGGTGGTAAACGGCCGTGTCCCGCAAACTGGTTTATCGAGCATTACATCATGGGAATTATTCGATGCCGTAATTCAATGCCGCTCCGTAAATACGGTGAAGCTCACGCGTGCCTATATCTACGCGCGTGCATGCGAGCAGCTGTGTCGGTGCACGTACGGCCTTGTTCCCGGATGCTGTTTGTAATTATTTACGAGGAGCCGCGTGGGCATCAAGGAGAAGCGTACGTCGGACGGAGTCCGCCGTTCTGGTCGGGCCACATCGTATGTACTTACTACGCCTGTGACCACACTTCTATCTCAAAGACACAACATTGTCACAAGATAGTCGAGAATGTTTGTCGTTTCGTGTACCGAGGACGAGCGCGCGAATCGTATTCTTGGAAGTAACCGGTCAAGAAATTTATCGCGATTCCTGGAACCATCCTCCGCGTTTAACTCTGCGTTCCGGAAAACGACCGATTTCCTCCGCTTGCTCTCGGTTAAAGAATGTTGCTCACGCGAAACGAACCGACCGACACCGACCGGCCCGAGTGCCCCTTTGCCCGAAGAAAGATTCGATTAGAGCGTGCAAGGCAGTTCGACACAGAGTGCCAGCCAGATCGAAGAGGTATAATGAAGATCGCAGCGGGATCGTTCGTTGTTCGTGGCACGGAGCTGGTTGAAAGGGGCCTATTTGCACTCCGTCATTGTATCCGTCCGCCTCGGAATCGTCGATGCGACCAGCGTTGGTCCCCAAGACCAACCGCCGTCTCTCTCCATTCACGGATTCTTTCCGTAAGAGGTGAGAGAAAACGGAGAGAAAAACGAAGGAGTCGAATTAGAAATTTCCATTGCCACCGAATTCGTAAATTCTTCTTCTTCTTCTTCTTCTTCTTTCCTCTTTCATCTCTCCCCTAAGACTAAAAATTCTACGCCACTATCAACTATCACTCGGCTATTGTATTCTATTCTTCTCTATCCTCGAGGTTCGTTTCTCTTCTTTCTCTCTTTCTTGTCGTCGTCGAGACGAGATTCTCCTCCTGGTCGCGATGCGATCCCTAGCATCGATCCCGATTATTCTCGCGTCGTTCGCGCCGTTTCGCGCCTCTTCTCTCTTTTCCTCTTCCTCTCGAATTTTAATTAATTAAATTTAATTTTTTCTTACGACGACGACAACGACGACGACGACGACGACGACTCGATCGTCGATAATAATATACCGTAAGAGAAGGATCATTTCGCTCGAACGCATCGATCGAAACGCTTGTATCTATATTTAAAGTTTAATTTATCTTGTCTTAGCGGTGTACAGTGTCCCTAGCTTATTGTAAAATAAATAAATATTCAGAATCGAAGAGCGAGACTCAACAAGACACGACGCGACACGAGATATCGAACGTAAACGATTTGATTCGTGGGTCGAACAACACGATGCGGTTGCTGTAATAAAAAATCGAGCGGGATAAGATAAAGGAGGAACGATGATTCGGCGATGATTCGGCGGGGGACGGTGCGGAAACGGGGGATCGGTGCGTACTCGCGTACCGCGTTTTCGATCGTATCTCGATCGCAGTTTATAACTTACCGACGATTCTCGAAGAGAATGAGCAACAGGGCGATGGTCGGTCCGATCCTAACGGCGATCCTAGACGGTGGTCCTTCGTAGACGCGTCCTGATCGAGAAGGAGGCATCCTGTCATCGCCCCGAGGACGTGTCTCTTATTCTTTTGCGCGGTTTGCCCGCTTTAAAGAAGAAAAGAAAAAGAAAAAAAAAAAAAAAAAAAAAAAAAAAAAAAAAAAAGAAGAGAGAGTCGAGTGCGACCCCTCGTCCAAGGCTGCACACCCCTAGCACCCGAACGGAAGGACCCCTCGCTCGAGAGACGATGATGCCGTCTCTCCTCCTTTCTTTCTCTCTGTTTCTGTACGCTTTTTTCCCAATCCCTCTCTCCTACTCTCTTCGTCTCCCGTCTCCGGCGCGGTGCCTGTGATCAGCAGCCTGGCACGCGTCGAGGACTCCTCCTCGCCCCGGGCACCGGCGCTTCTGCTTTGACGTTGTTCCGTACGATTCGAGAGCTTCCAGTTTCGCCGCTTCCAAGGGGTCGTTCCGAAAACTACCCCGGGACAATATCCTCGATGACGATCGAACGGTTCGTCGACCGACCACCCCGAGATAGTCGTATCCCGCTCTTTTCCCACTTTTTTCTTCCTCCTCCTCCTCCTCCTCCTCGTCCTCCTCGTCTTCCTCTTACTCTGCTTCTCCTCTCCTTTCTTCCCTTATTCTATTCCTCCCTGTCGGATTATTGTCGAGTTTATCCCCTTCACCTTTCAAAACGATTCGCGAAAAATTCTCGGCCGATCGTTATCGCGGTCGAATCGGTTTCGAATCGAAAAACCGAGAGAATCGCGCGTTGACAACGAACACCTTTGGTTCTGGAAACGTGGAACTTCTTCGCTTCGTTCTTCTCGTCCTCTTCTTTGGAGTAAGAATACTGTGGACGTGTCGATCGACACAACTTTGGCGACTTATACTCGTCGAAAAAATAATATTACGTTTCGTTCAACACACTGACACTGCTGCCGTCGCGGTCGTCGCGAATCGCGTAGCAATAATCCACCGTTACCGTATAATCGTCCAGATTAAACATGTTGCACGCGCATATTTCCCTTTTACCCGCCGATCGATCTCTCTTCTCCTCCTCTTGCCGGATATTACGAATGATATTTCACATCGAAACGAAACTCGAGAGAACACTTTCGGATCCGGTGAGGCAAGCAACACGACGAAAATCTTTTTATCCACGGCCGATCGCGAAAATCCGCGTCGCGACACCCTTTCCCGCCGCGATCCTCGTCGGATATCGTGGCATTTTTCTCTCTGGTCCTTGCGCACCACCCTTTTCAGATCGGTGGCCGGTGACGATGATCTTTCTCGCGTCGCCTCGTCGCCGAGAACGAGTTAAAGAGTCACGAGTTAAATGTGTCGAAGAGAAAAGAAGAAGAGGGCCCCCCGACGGTTCGTTACTTCCGGTGTGTGTGCGCGTTCACGGCGAAGTGTCAAGCTCAAATAAAAGAAAAGTCGCCCTCCGGGATCTCTTACTCCTCCCACGCACACATCCCCCTCCTTCGGCTTGTGTTCCTCTTCCACCGTTGCTCCGGCCTCTCTCTCTTTCTCGCACGCGTACCACCGCGGCTATCGTTCCATCCGTGCAAACAGTCGAATAGCAAACTTCCCGTGGTCGCGTTACGCGCCGACCACACCGACCACGACGATGACGACCGCGCGCGTGTCGTCCAACGATCGTGTCGCCGTCGCGTCGTCCCGAGTCGTCCAAGCAACGTTTCTCCTCCTTCGAAGGAGGAACGACGGTGCCGCTCCTTCGAATCGAAAAGGGTCGGTGCTGGGGCAGAGAGGTAACGCGAGTTAAAACAGAGTAATACAGCGAGAAGAGAGCTCGGGAAGAGAGCAGAGAGAAGAAAAGAGAGAGGCGAGAAGGGGTGGAAAGGCGCGATGCGCGATGAAAAGGAGAAAGGGGGAGGGAGGGAGGACGAAGAAGAGAGGGAGAGGAGAGAAAAGAGGACGGGAAGGAAGAGCGCGAAGAAGGAGATAGCGAAAGAAGGGAAGGAGAGAGCGTGGCCGGAAAGAAGAGCGAAACGAAGGGTGAAACGGGGGAAGAGAGAGAGAGAGAGAGAGAGAGAGGAGGAGGAGAGAGAGAGAGA